TATTACTATGAAATTTAGAAAGCCAAGAGTTTACATGCTTAGTTGTAAAATCCTTCATTCAGAAAACAGATTGGAAAATTATAATTTTTATGGGAAAGGAGTGAGAAAAGCAGGGAGGAAATGAGGGGGGAAAGTTACAAATGGCAATTATGGTTCAGAATAGAATGTAAAGAAAACAAATGAGACAACTAGTGATCTCATCCAAGGCCGAGCGTTTAGAACTACAGGAGGCAGGATAGTATGTGGGAAAGAACCAAGTGTATACTAAAGTCAGGAGGCTCTGGTTCTACAGTCCCTGGCTCAGCTAGCTTTGTGGACTGTATCACTTAACCTTTCTAGCCCACAGTTTCCTCATCATTTAAAATAAAGCAGTTAATCTAGAAAATCTGTAAGGTCTTACAGCTCTAAAATTCTATCAGTTTATCTTAATGACAGTACTTATTAAGGTGAATGTATTATCAATTACTAAGATATTCTCTTTACAAATAACCTTTGTTATATATTTTTGAAATTACAGTCAATACGTGTTATCTATTATTATTATAGAGTAATGTACCTAGCTGGCTGTGCCACTTTAACACAATTATTTCCTGATAAAAAAGGAAACCATCAACTTTATAAGTTCATACATGGATTTTAACTTCTTAATAAAAAATTGTGTTACATAGGAATTTGGAAGAATTTTGATTATAGTAGGTTAGTCTAGACAAAAATATAAGTATGACTCCCTATTTTCCACAGGGGAATGGCAGCTTTCCTTCCTTCCCTCTGGAAGGTAGAAAAATAACATTTAGTGAATGTCTACTGTATAGAAGTCACTCTGCTGAATTCCTTCATATCTTGAAATAATCATCATACCTGTTTGTAGCACTCTGTTTAATCAACAGTACAGAATAGCTGCTTGTTAGAATAGACACTTGTTAGAAAACTTAATTTTAAACTTAATATGGGCTAACACTAAATCATAGGTGACTCTAATACACAGAGTTGAGAACCATGGTTCTAATAACTATGTTTACCTAGGTTGCTTAAGTTTTTACTTTTGTTAACCTATGACAAAGCAAAATATAGATGTTTGGATTATCTCAGCCTTTTGCAGAAATGTCGTCGTTAAATGTGGTTTTAGACTTTCTGTTTTTATATAGATGCTTAATTAGGAAGTTGCCTTGTGAATTTATTTCGATATTTCTTGCAAGTTGGTGGTTGATAATGCTGTTTAATGTGTCACAGAATGTCTTTTATGCATTAGATTGGCATAAATTTCTGCTAAGTTTAGCCTCAAAGAAAATTGTGCAAAAAATTACGTATACTTTCGGTTTGTTAGAAAATAAAAACTACGTAACTTTATCTTTCTTTTCAGCTTAGTAAAAATCTTCAGCCAAATGTATAACTGAAGTTGGTAATCTACTCATCTCTAGTTTCTGCAAGTGCTTCTACTATTAGATGAACACAGTTTAAATTTTATGTGTTATATTTAAGTTTAATAATTTGTAAGATGTTTGAAGCCCTTCTGAGAAGTAGGAAGGATACGAATCTGAAAAATAATACACTAACCCATCTTGTTCCTATTGTTTTTGAGAATGACCACTCCATTGAAGTTGGATGAAAGGCTGTTGTGGAATCTGTAGTTCACACTAAACATATGTTGAATCTTGACATATGTCTGTAGTCATTTCAGAGTTGCTATTGTTTCTAGCTTTGCCTTCTAGGCCGTGATAGACCTGATGCCTTTCATCACAGAAGAGCAGTTTCGTTCTTTATATGATGTACAGACAGCAGTTTCCTAATCAGCCGTAGTCATTTCATCTTGTATCCTTAAAAAAAGTAGTTTTCTTTGATGAATCCTGCTTGTTATTGCCCTACTTCGGTGAACTGTATATCCTGCTATTGTTCATTCTTCACACATGTTCCTGCAGAGAGAGTTGTGAAAAAATTCACTTCAGGACACTCCTGCAGAAAGAGAGAGAGAGAGTTGTGAAAAAATTTGCTTCAGCACACTGATATGGTTATATTCCATAATTTTGTTCTTACTGATCTTGCTCTGGTTCAAGATGTAAGTGTGGTTTATGTAGGATATAGATGGAACAATACTGTAGTCTATATGTGATAGCTACAGTAAGCCTGAGCCCCATAACTATAATAAGTTATACAGCAGATTTTAACACTAAGTTGGTACTATTTTGCCTTCTTAGTCTGGTTTTCCATTTTTAAGTTTGTACACTATTGTAAAATGTACTGCTTGAGTGTATTTCATTGATCACTTTTGACTATGCATAATCGAACGCTAAAATACTAGTGCCTAATAGGTGCTCAGTGAATATTTGAATAAAGGAATGTTGACTTAAGTGTTCACCACTGATCTTGTTTGTTGTTTCCTCTCAAAGGATTAAAAAGGGTTTTTCTCTGTGGGTTTTGGCCTGACCAGTTACAACCTTCAAGTTCAAACTGAAGTTATTCTCACGTGATCTTTTTGACGCACTGAGCTAATTTTACTGGCTGTGTTATCTTTTCTGTGCCCACTCCTATATATCTTGAGGTTATCATGTCTCTTCCACACCTACCGTTTTTCCAGCTGCTACTTTTGATTGCTTTGGTCCCTTTCTGTCTAACTAACATAGTCATTTTAGTTAATATGTATTTCTTTCATTCTTCATATATCATCATGCTCTAGTTATTTTGAGCAACATGTGTTTGTCCCAGACTATTTTGGTTTTATCAGTTGATTTCTAGTCCATAAAATTAGCATTTATGAACATCCCATAATTACATTTAAATTACTTTAAAAAATTATATACTCAAGTAAAGTAGTCCCCAACCTATGAATTTTTAAATTGCATGTGTTCCTTAAAGTTAGCATTTGAAAACAGCAAATCCTGAATTTTTGTTTCCATGAATTTTGTTGATTCTTGTAGCCTGAAGATGTAGAAGAGTTTTCAAGATTGCTAAAACATATCTTGCTGCAAGGTCTCGTCTCTAGTTTCAGCCTTGAGGTCATTGTGGGGTAATATGTTGGTAGGATATTTGCTTTTGGGTTGTTTTTGCAATAGTGGTGATGGATTTGTGTCCAATCATACAGTCTTACCCATTGCCTTTGTGACTCTTGGCATGTCTTATGAGGCAGCTAGCCAGGATTAGTGGGGTAGAAACTATAGCTCTGGAACAAAGTGAAGCTAACAGGCTGAACCTTCAACCTTGGCCTTATTATTAATGCATTATGTCAGATATTATATTGTTAAACTAAAAATTGAATATCTTGGATTCCATTATTCCAGGACCCTAAAAGAACTTTAAACTTCTGTTACACAAGATTCAGTATTACTGTGAACTAGTCATAATTATCATCTAGATTTTTCAGAAAGAATGTTTGAAGAGGTTAATTATTAATAAAAGACACATAAGTTAGTACTGAAGGTGGGATTGGATTTTGTGTACTTTTTCTGCATTCCTCCTATATTAAATGTTCTATATTAATGTAGATCAGTGGTTCATAAAGTGTATTTCCCAAACCATCAGTGTCAGCATTCCTTAGAAATATGTTAAAAATGAATTCTTGAGCCCTACCTCAGACCTAACTAAATAAAAAATTTTGAGAGCGTGGTCCAGTGGTTTGTGTCTTAACAAGCCCTGGAGGTGATCCTGATGCATGCCAAAGTTTGAGAACCACCATCTTGGACCTCTTGCTAGTTAGTACCTAGTAACTCCATCAACATTAGCTGAAATGGACTAAGTTAAGGTCTGTCTATATTGGAGCTACTATCAGCCTATTACTTGATAGCATTTTTGTAAAAATGTTGACTAAAGTAGTAGAAGATAAAAGTCATCTCTTACAGATTTATTATAGCTGATTTTTAGAAAATTTCCTAAGGTCTTTTCTTTTCCAATGCCGAGTAACACCAATCAATACATATTTTAGGCTTTTTCTTAAAAATGGAACTTTGGCGAGATACATGAGTGATACCATGCATTTAGAAAAGTTATTATAAAAAAGTAATTCCAGGAGGCTATCACCTGAACTAGTAAAGCCTGAATTATGCCCAAGGGAAGGAAATAACCTGGATACAGATGTCCAGAAAGCAGTAAGTTTATTTTGGAAAGCTCCCAAATTAATTCCATTGTATTTGAAATCACCAGGGCCAAAGGTTACATGTGACTCAGGATTTGACCAGTGGAAATCCACCAGATTTTAGTGGGGGAATGTTTGCCCTTTTTAAGGAAATTGGTTTTGAATATGTAAAGCACTAGCAATCTTTGTGCCTACTGTAAGATTTAGTTAAATTGGTGAATAAGATTAAAAATTTAGAGAGGTAATAGGAAAAGGGATTGATTTTTATAAACCTCCTTTCTGTTGGAAGTCAGATTGAAAACAGAAGTATGAAAAAAAAAGATTGACACAAAGTTATTAAAGTAAGAGACTATGGGAGATACCCTCTTAATGAAAATAGCCACTATTTTCATTTCTGTAGCTTTATTATACAGAACTAATTGTGGTAATTTCTTCTAATGTGTTTCTATCTATGTACCAGTGTTGTCATCACTATAGACCGTTAATGAGCAAGCTTCCTAATTCTTCCACAGCCCAAGTATATAGGACCCATGGACAGTAATTGCTAATGAATTTTTGTTTTTTCAAAGACTCTATTGAGAATATTTGATGTGATTGATTCTTGGGTTCTTTAAATTATGTTTAGTCTAGATTAAATAAGGATAGATACTATGTTTAAATATAATAAAAATTAACTTTGAAAATCTATTTTAATTTATATACTTCAAAAAAATCTGAATCCTGGTATTTGCAAATCTTTTCCTCCTTTATTTTCTTAAAGTTAGGGTTTAGGTTTAGCATAGTGTAACAGAAAATTCAAACTAACAGTAACTTAAAACAAGAGAAAATTTAATTTTTCCCCACATAAAAGCCTAGAGATAGTCCGTACAGATCTGGTATGGTGGATCTGAAGTGTCAAAGACACAGGCTTTCTAACCTCTGTCTTCCATTCCCAAGGTTACCTCATGAACCAGAATTGCTGTTGAAGCTCTAGCCATTGCATCTTTATTCCATTCAAAAGGAAGGAGGAAAAGAAGAAGAAGGACATGCCCCCTCTCTTTAAAGGATACTTTTTTTAGAAGCCACATACATTTTTTTAGCTTATATCCAGTTGACCAGAATGTGATCCCATGGCCATACCCAGCCACAGGGGAGGCTAAGATAAGTAGTCTCTTCTGTGAGCTCTTGTGCCAAGTTAAAAACTGGGGGTTCTGTCATTAAGGAATAAGAAGAGAATGGGTATTGGAGACAATTAGCCACTTCTTCTTTGGTTTACAAATGGATAATTTCAAAAAGGAGAAATGTATTTTCCAGGTAAAATCTACAACACTTCACTTAGACCAGAGGCACTCTTGTATTTGCAAATGAATGCAAGTAGGGCTTTGTGAGGAGATTGTGCATTAGTAAAATAAGTAATAACTTTGGCTGGTGATGGGCTAGTGATTACAAGCATTAATTTTTTTGAGCTGAACCAGGATGCCCAGAAAAGGTCAAAAATAAAATTTCTTGTGATACAGATGTCCTCTGTTACTGATACTGAACAACATTTTTCCATTATAACCAAAGGCAGTAATACCTGAAAATAGAACACCTGAAATAAGGATGAATATCAACTATATGATGGCCCTGTATTGGAGCTTTGCTTTCTAAGTGATAGAAATAAGTTAGAAGTAGTGATATTAGTAATAACAAGAATAATAAAAATAATACCGCTTAGCATTTATTATTTACTATATGCTGGGCATGATGTTAAGTCCCTTATATGCATTTTTTGTAACAACCATATAAAGTAGGCAGTGTTATTGTCCCCGTTTTACAGATGAGGAAATTGAAGATTAGAGAAAGCAATTTGCCGTTTAAGCCCAAGTCTGTTTGACTTCAGAGTCTATGTGCTGTAAAGAACTGAGCATACCTGAAGATCTAGCACTACAGGTCCAGGCCCAAACTTGGGCAGATGGATTGGGTGGTAGTGACAAGGACATGAGTTTCCTTGCCTGGGTGTCCTACTGAATGGGAGGATGAGGTACACAATACATAAGTGAGTTGAGAGTGTCCATATTTGGAGATAATTTTCTCTAGCACAAAATGTTTTATTCTTCTGACAGAAGGTAGGATGATTGTTTTTTCTTTACCTGATGATTGAAAAACCCGTTGCCGTTGAGTTGATTCTGACTCATAGCCTCCCTATAGGCAGAGTAGAAGTGCCCCATAGGGTTTCCAAGAAGCATCTGGTGGATTTGAACTGCTGACCTTTTGGTTAGCAGCCAAGATGATTAAGAAGGTAGTATTTTCATTCAAAAGAATAGTCTTGCATTTTGATAATCAGGTAATTTATAAAGCAAGTAAACATGAAAATATGATGCCAGCCCTCCTCCCCAGGCTTTAAAGAATAACTTGGAATAATTTATTATAGGGTTCCTTAAATATCTGAATTCCCCTAAGTTCCTTTGTGTTTGTTTACAGTTAATGTGTTAAGAGCCATTGACATTTGAAGATCATCAGAAGTGAAGATAAAACATCTCAAAAATTATAATGTAAGTGAATGGGAAAATGAAAATTAAAAATAGACAAAAGTTAATATTGCTAGCTATTTCTGGGATTGATATATATTATCCCAAATGAAATTTATGCATATGACCAATCAGTGACTTCAAACTTCAGTTCCAATTCCACATCTCGGTTTTTAAAATCCTGTGTTTTCTTCTACCTGGGGAAGAGTCACTAAGTTTTATTCATCTGGTAATTTTCCATTAGACTTCTTTTGGCTTTTTTTTTTTTTTTCCCCTATTCCTCCTAAGTATTTTGCAGTTTGGCTTGGGAAGATGGGACAAGTGCTTATGTTATTTTTAAAATTGTATGTTTGTAGAGACTGAGGTCTTTGCTTTCCAGCTGCTGATGGACGTTATATATTTTACCCAGTTTTAATTTTTACAGCCTTTTTGTATGTCTGTTAGTCAAAAATATGACCAGTTTGCTAATTAGCCTCCTTCCTTCCCAGTCTCCTTCCTTCCTTTCTTCTTCCTGTCTCCCTTCCTACTTTCTCTGTCTATAAATATTTGTTTAGCATCTACTGTGTTCTGCACATACTGTTAGATTATGAATTCCTAAGATTTTGGTGCTGAGCCAAGTTATATCATTTTTTTATACTGTAGGAGCATTAGACATCATCTAGTTAGTGTTTCTCAAGGGTGCTTAGTGAAAATTTAGCTTCCTAGGCCCCAGCTCATACATTCTGAATCACTGGGTGCAGGCCTGAGAATCTGTACTTAAAGTTTGAGAACCACTGATGTGGATGCTTTTTTAGATTCAGGTTCAGCTCTGTAAGTTTGTGTATGAAGCAACAGACCTAGAGAAGTTCAGTAACTTACCCAAAGGCACAGAGAATGCTACAAGGTCAGGACAGGTTGTTTTTGTTTCCTCCAAGGTCCCAGAGCTATTTAGTGTCAGAGCTGTTCTCCTGACTCCCACTTCTATACTTCACCAGGTTACTGTCATGACTTTTGTTGGGACAGACAACTTCACTGTGTTTCATGTCTATAAAACCCTCCCCTCATCACCATTCCTGAAACAAATCATATGGGTTATATGCATGAAAAACATGTAATGTTTCTTCGTTTTTAGTCAGTTATGTGGCTGATTCTGATTTTGAAATCATTGAGGGCGGTTAGAAAAAAGCCTGGTAGTCCAGATAAAAGAGAAAAAAAAATTTTTTTTGTTTCCATGGCTAACTCTCTTAGACTTTAAGCTTTATGCTTCTCAAAAGCAGGGATCTAATTTCATTTTTGCATGATAGTAGCTAGTTTACCAAAAAAAAAAAAAAAAGAACAAAAAAACAAACCAAACCCATTCCCATTTGAGTTGATTCCGACTCATAGTCTATCAGACAGAGCCGACTCATAGTGAGTCTATCAGACAGAGTAGAACTGCCGCATAGAGTTTCCAAGGAGCGCCTGATGGATTCAAACTGCCAACCTTTTGGCTAGCAGCCTTGGCACTTAACCACTACGCCACCATGGTTCCCAGTAGCTAGTTTAGTGCTTTGTAAATAGTAGGTGCTGTGAATAGTTTAAAAGGAGCCCTGGTAGCACAGTGATTAAGCACTGGCTAGTCACTCCATGGGAGAAAAGACCTGGCGATCTGTGTCTGTAAAGATTACAGCCTAGGAAACCCTATGGGGCCGTTCTCCTCTGTCATATAGGGTTATTATGAGTCGGAATCGACTCTACAGCGTGCAACAACATGAATAGTTTGCTGTTAAAATTTCGATTTTTCCTTTGGATTCCTTGAAGTACACTATTAGGAGGGGTTTTATTTGGTTTGTACAGAATCTGATACTTTATACAACAAGCCAGAGAGCTTACAATATTTTGCATTTATAATACTATATTGATATAGTTGATATTCACAATATATCCAAGATATTCTAAGATATTTTTTGAAGTATAAGAGTTTGCATTAATTTTAGTATAATTTTGTGTATATGTTATATTGTATTATGTATATCGATAGTTACAATAGTTAGTCAGTTGTATCCTTACATTATTAAATGTAGTTATCCTAATTTTTTTGAAATATTGTGTAATTCTCAGATGCTAATAATTTTAATCATAAAATGCCATTGTCTAATTTATCTGGATATTTTGGGCATATTTTAATTATAATCATTTTTTAAAAATTGACATCTTATTGAAGTAGTTTATTCATTTCTAATAAGTTTATTTGATTTTGTGTTTTACATTTTCTATTAAAGTTTTTTGTAATTCTAGATTCAGAATTATAATAGTTCTGAAAAGGAGCTTTAGCTATTAGGCAGTCTAATTCTCATTTTTTGTGTTGAAATACTAATAATATTAAGGGATTTGCCTAAATCTAGATGTTTTATGAATGTTAAAATATACTTGTGAACAAACAGGATGACATTTATTATATTTCAATGATAGTATGTGTGAAATGCTCTGAAAACTGTAAAGTATAGCATAAATGTAAAGTTTTATTATGATTCAGCGATGATGGTATGTCCACTGAATTTCCCTGTGAATTAATTGAAAACATGTACTATTGTTCAGTTTAAAATCAGAAGGAAAAATACCTGTGCTTGTCACTTGGTCTCTTATTTCTTCATGCTCAGATTTTATTGAGTGTCCTTTAAGTGCATTAAACGAGAATAGATACTGTACAGGTTACCTACATTTCTCTTTGGTTGTGCTAATCTAGATTGTCACGTTAAAGAATTACACAAACTGCTCAGGATGATATTCCTATATTGGAAGAGTTCTGTCAGCTGTTTTCTGTAGAAGAAAATGGTGAATGAATGAATGTTTGCTATTATTCCTTCATGTAATCAGAGTAGCTACTGGTGATATTAACACATTTTGATGTAGTTTTTATGGTTTTGAAGCTGTTTCACATATCAGCTCAGTTGTTCCTCACAACAACCTTGTGAGGTAGGTACTATAGGCCCTCATTTGACAAATGAGTGAGTGAGGCCCAGAAAGGTGACACGATTGCCCAGTGTTCCCTGTTTATAAGAGGTGGATCTGGAACTGGAACTTTGACTCTAAAGGTTAACGCTGTTTCTACTGCCCAACATAAATTATAACATGGAAGTCATCAAGTCTCATGGGGTATACATTTTGTCATCTAAAAGAAATCCTAGATATTTGAAAATTGTGGCCAGATTCACCGTGTCTGTTGTTGTTAGGTTCTGTCAGTCTAGCCTTAGAGTTGACAGTATATATGGAAGATAATGTCTCTGAGGGCACTTTGACATTTGTAAAGAGCTATGCTAATGGAAGGTATTATTATTGTGAAGCCATAAAAAAAAATTTTTGTTATTTTCCTCATTCTTATCATATAGATGGAGATGTGGAAAAAAGACAAAAGCAAGCAAAAAAAAAAAAAACCAGTCTTTTTATGGTTTATGATTTCTAACAGCTAATTAATCTGTTAAGTAGTAGAATATTTGAATATTTGAAAATATGGATAGAACAGTATTCAAAATTATGGAGAGAGGCCCTTGGCAGGTTTGAATCACTGAGTGATGCCAGTGTGTAAGATTTTTAATTTAACATCTCCAGGCTAGAGAGAGAAACATTGAATGCTTTTCTTTTCCTAGTGGATATTTTAACTCAGTCCCTGAATAAAATAATCTATGTTAACTTCACTTATATGACTTTGAAGTAAGTGTATAAGTGTTATATCTCATTACACTGAAAGGGTAATGATAGATTAATAGTAATAATCAGGTTTGCTCTGTCTTGGAAAAACAAAACATCTATCTAGATGACCTAAGGAATGGATATATAACTTTCTGATTTTAATAATGAGTTCAGATTTGCATTGTGGGATGAGAAAATGGCATGAGAAGTTGTTTATCAAGATATGAATTCCATATGTGTTTTCCGTACTTGTCCAGGTGAAAGTATTGATTGAGCAAGCATTTATTAAGTAGATCAATTCCCTCTTTTAGTGTTTATCACTCATTCTTTAGTTTGGAGTGGAAGTGTTTCTTTCTAAAAGGAAATGCAGTTTCTCAGTATTATGCTTTAAGCTATACTAATCTGACTAGGTTTCAGTTTAGTAAGACGTATCTTTCAGCTAAACTCATAAAGAATTTTTTCCCTTATGAATCCATACAAGTTTGTTGTCTATCTGTCACCTGAGTTTGAATCAGAGATATTTGAAGGGGTTTATGAGAAGTTCCTTTGAGGGGCTGCTGAGGGTGTTGGGGTTGGTGCTGGAATTCCAAAGTCCCTCCTACACTCTGATCCTCACCTTGTCCCCAACGGACACACTCATTTTTGTTAAAATACTTTGGTTTTTACCTGTTTTACATATTTACATTTCCAGATAAGATCTTCTTTAAAGAAACAATACTCTGAAGAAAAAAATAGTCCTTTATGGATAATTTTATGGAAAAATGACCTGGTTTTTCAAACTTGCTGCTGCATTTTCATATAATATGCACTGGTTTTTAGTTTAGGAAATGTAGTTGATAGACCTGGAATTACAACAATACAAATTAAACCGTATCCAGGGTCACATGTACCTTAGAATCTTGAAATTTTTCAAACTAAGTGCCAACATGTGCCAGTTTAGAGACTGTTGCAGAGCTCAACTCTCCTTTGTTTCCCTGAAGAATGCAAAATGTAATCTCTTTGTCAGTCCAGTGCCATGATGGTAAGATCATTTATGTCACAATTTTTATCCTATAGATTTGTTAAGTTAAAAAACACAGGGTTCTGGCATAGCATTTTTTAAAATAATTACAAACTAAATTAATTTGTCTTTGGGGGTTTTTCTGTTTTGGGGATCCTGCGAATATTTTGACAATAAGTCTTTTATGTCACAAATGCTTTATAGACACTGAGGGCCTTTTATTATTATTTTTTAAATAAAATTTGCAACAGAATGACTAATAGGGCATGAACAGTGCTAATGACACTATAGTTCATTGTGTAAGTATTGAGAGCAAAATTTGCACTCCTGGAAAAGTTTGTTCACAATCAGAATATAGAACACATTCTTAAATGTTCTTGGGCAGACATGCTATTCATGTGCTCAGGACATTACTTATAAGAAAGTACTTTTTTAAAAGGACCTTTTCTTTCCATGGAATACTGAAGAAAAATTGAATTGCCGATAGGAGTGAGGTGGTTTAAATAAGGCAAGTGGTGTAGATCTTATTGTGATGACTATGACCAGTAATAACTGGAAATAAAAGAAACACAAACTCTCCCAAATCCTCTGGTGGCGTTTGTTTACTAATATACATGGAGATAAGTGTCTTGTCTCCGGGTTTCTAGGTTTTTTTGAATTGAGCGTATAATGCTGTTGTATGTTTATCTGCATCTTTAATTTTCAGAAATACTTTTTCACTTTTGTAAGAAATATTTCTAGTGGATTTTGAAATACTAGATCAGGAGAAATAAGAGGAATATAAATATATTTATGGTATCTGTTAGTGCTTGGATTTTATTTTCTGTTTATTATTGTGAAGTACTCCATGTTGTTGTGATTGACAATAAAGTAGTGATTATTCCATTAACAGTCCAGCACACTATTACTAATGGTCCAGCAAACCAGTGGGGCTGGAGAGGGGGTAGATGCTTTGCTAAACGTTGCACTGAAAAATACTGCGGTAGAACTGGTTTTGTGGTTGAAGTTTTGGGCTAATCTTTTGCTTGAATATATCAGAAGTGATGCAAGATACATGTGTGTGTATGTAATTTCCCCCAATATATGTGATTTTTGTTAAGTAATTCATCAGGTTTCTAAAACTTTTTTTAAGTTTGAAAGTTTTTATATTCAGTTTTCTTAGTGCAAATGGAAGACATTTTACAGTAAAAACCTTAGTGAAAAGCACTTTTAGGACCAAGTGCTTTGCTTCATTTTAATTCAATTAGTGGGTTCCTTCTTAAAAGGAGAACTTTATTTCTGATTTCATCTTATTTTCCTGTCTAAAGAGGATGCCGTTGTATTTCCACAATGCTGTTTGTTAAACCCTTCTACCAGTTAAATAGTAGCACTAAGTACTTTCTATATAGCATGCTTTTTGATCTTTAATGCTCTCATAAGATATCACTATCTTTAATTTATAGATAAAAAAAGCTTAATTTGCTTGAATTATTATTTGGTAAGTGGTGAAACCAAGCCTCTGTGACTCTAAAGCTAATGTTTTTGATGACTAAGCACTTCTACCCACGTCCGTGTTCTCTTTGTTCCCTTTGTGTCCTTTATATCCCTTCATTCTCTCACTGTACAATTATGAGATACTTACATATCTGTTACCTTCATTAGACTATAAATCCCTTGAATTAGGATATCTGTTTTCAACTCTACCTCTCATGCATTCTACACTGACAAAGTCATTAAATGTAGAAAGAAGAGGAAGGTAAGAAAAAGAAGAGGGTTTAGAAATTTCCTGCTCTCCAAATGGAGGGGTAGAGTGGGAGGAGCAGAAGGGGAGATGACTAAGAGGTCTTTAGTTCCAGATGGAGTTGCTTAGTCTCCATCCTTTCAAGGAAGCTGAGGTGGTGCTTTGAAGTCTGGGAATATTTGGAGGTGATAAGTGAACCACCTGCCATCTGGAGATAGATTTCTTTGCCATTGCAGCATTAACGGGGATGCTTGTAAGTCCAGTAGTATTGTGTCAAGGAGTATTTCTGTAGTAGGTACCTAAATTTGTTTGTTGGGATGTAATTTTCTTAATTTGCAAGTCTTTACCCTGATTAAGTCTCAGGAATGAGTATAACTAAAAAACTCCTATTTAAAACAAAAAGTAGAAAAGTGGAGAGTGCTTTATTTAATGATGCTATTTTGAAAAGCATATAATTTCTACCCCTTTCACCAATAGTTAGTTTGTATAACTCTATTCCTCTAAACGCTATACTGAACTTTGAGACCAAAAGGGTGGAGTATTGCTCATAGAAATAGTATAACAAAGGAAAAACACTTTGTGTTATAATAACAACAGACCAGTAAATGTGTGGGCATGACTAAGAGTCAGATGATGGGATTGCTGTTTTGATTTTGTGGTGGAAAGAAAACTCTGTCACTTTGGCTGAGATAGTTACAGGGCTATTAGAAGACAGAGGATGACTAGTGCTGTGCTACATTATAACTCTTGCAGCCGCTATAAACCTAAGTTTTGTTCTGTAGCGCGTGCGTGCGTGTGTGTATGTATTCATCTGGTTATTTTGTGGACCCAGAAGTTAATGTTTTAATAGTACTGACTTTATTCTTTTTAATGAGGAAAAAAGAATTAAGTACAGTTTCAGGTGGAATGAGTGGGTGAGAGAGGGGAATTTTTATTGAGAGTCATTTCCCAATTACAAGAGCAGTGCCTCTGAGAATTTCGATGAAGGCATGTATCAGTGTGAATTGTTTGCATGTCCATATAATCTTTAACTGCTTTTCCTAAGGGCTGATAATGAATTAGGATTTAGTACATTAAAATAATTTTAATAAAACATAGTTGCAGTTTTATTCTAAAAAGTATTTTGAGCCTCTTGGGTAAAGGATTCTATGTAAACATGAATAAGTGTAAGTGTAAAGAGTAATTTGGTGCTATTAACAAGAATGGAGCCTTGGTGGCACAGTGGTTAGGAGCTCACCTGCTAACCAAAAGATTGGCAGTTGGAATTAACCAGCTGCTCCTTGGAAACCCTGTGGGCAGTTCTACTCTGTCCTATAGGGTTGCTGTGAGTCAGAATCGACTCGATGGCAGTGGATTTGTTTTTTTTATTAACAAGAATATGCTAGAGTGTTGGTTATATTCTTTCAGTTTTGTTTCTTTTGGGCAGATGTTCTTTATAACAACTTCATTAATATCGCATATGTATGTGTTGTTTATAAATATTTTTTGACATAATACATGTATCTGAATTAAGATGATAATGCTCTTGAGTTGGAATTGATGGCGACAGCAGTCACCACCCTTGAGGTATTACGTTCATTTTGTTCCAAAGTACACTTAATTCTCCATTATTTTGAATCTTACTAGTTACTTGCAGGTAATTCAGGGCCTGGGAATTTTCTGTTTATTTCTGGCTTAGATATTTGAGCCTTGTGAGTGCTTTTTGTACTTCCGTTAAAGGATTAATAGGAACAGAAGGGAATCATGATTATAATTTAGTTTTGTTGATAACTATTCTGATAAAAGGTTTGGGCAAAGTAGTGCCCACATTAGTTAGGAATGAAGAACAAATTTTCCTGGTGCTGCATGTGCGGGAGGCCTTTCTATGGGGAAAATTTATGCAGTATAACGGGGAAATGATGCTGAAGGACAGGTTTTTAAATCACGTTTTGTGACTATTCCACAAATCTTTCCTTTGTAGTGAAAGATATGACCTTCTGAAATATTTCTTTATTTAATATATTTTCCCTATAAATCAGTTATTCCTTTAAATTATTTTAATGTGATTAGATTTGGTCTACTATTTTATGGCTGTCGTTTTAATATAATGGATATGTTATAAATGTTAATCTCTGAAAGAATTCTGACGTTTACTTGGGAGGTTGTCTTGGCAACAAGTATTATTGAGTTTGTGTATTTTACCAAGCCAGAAAGCATAAACTTGCTTGAAAACATTAGGACAGATCTGGTTAAAAAAAACTATGGATTAAAGATGAATATGCTGAGAGGCATACATCCAGGGAGTCGTCCAGGAGTAGTGCTAATCTAGAAAGGCTTCCTGAGAAGATGCCTTTTATTTCTTAGTGTCATAAATACTTGTTTTTGGCATTAAAATTAAGTTTTAAGCATTTTAACTATAACTTCATTTTTCACATTTTGGCACATTGTCAGTTGCAGTGCTGCCATCCCTTTTTTGCAGTGGTATTTATATGTAAAAGAATCTTACAGTTTATACAGCATTTTCCCCATCTTTATACTAACCAGTGATATAAGTAGAGCGGGTACTTTTATCCCCATTTTGTAATATGAAATTGATGTTTGGAGAGGTTAAATGAATTTCCATGGTTTATGAGATCTAATTTTTTGTTCTCTTCTCTTAGATTAAATTTACATGCCCTGGTGTGTGTTGGCAGTTGCCAAAGTGTCTCCTGCTGCATATCGTGAAGGTGCTTTTTAGTATAGCTACATATAATCGTCTGCTGTTAAACACTTAACTGTAGACATCCTTTTATTGTCATGAAATAAAATAGTACACAGCATTTGAGATGAAAGCAGAAAGGATTTACGTTTCCAACAATGAATTAATAATTAGTACTGGTTTCAAGAGAGTAAATATGCAGCTTCCTTTTCAGGAGGTTGATTAATTTTTTTTTATTGTGGTAAAAACATATGTAACAAAATATTTGCCAGTTCGACAATTTTTACATGTACAATTCAGTGACATTGATTATATTCATCATGTTGTGCAACCATTACTACTTCCTTTTCCAAATTATTCTACCACCATTAACATAAATTCAGTGCCCCCAAGCAGTGATTCCCCTCCCCACCCAGCTCTGTTGTCCTGTTGTTAGTTGCTGTAGAGGCAGTTCCGACTCACAGTGATCCCATGTGAGCAGAGTAGAACTCTCCATAGGGTTTTCAAAGCTGTGACCTTTTGGAAGCGGATTGCCAGGCCTTACTTCCGAGGCACCTCTGGGTGGGTTCAAACTGCCAACCTTGAGATGGGGCCAAGATAGCAGAATAGTCAGATGCTTCCTGTCATCCGTCTTACAGCAAAGACCTGAAAAAACAAATGAATTGATTATATATGACAATCTAGGGGTCCTGATCATCAAAGACAAAGCTGAAGAGTCAGACTGAGTGGTGGGGGAAGGAGAGACAATTCAAAAGAATCGAAGAAGTGCCAGTCATAAGGTTGCTGCACCCTGCTGGCTGAGTCAGCCGGAACATGTGGGCTGAGGTGAGCAGTAGCGTTTAGGATGCATCTCACCACATTGGGAGAGGCCGGAAGAGAGTCTGTACAAGCCTCCGGAACCGGGTGGAAATGACACTGGACCTGCAAAAGTTAAGTGCAAGCGTCTGACCTACCACATGGGGTGAAAATAACCCTTCCCCATCTGAGACTTTCACAGTGGAGAAGTGCCTTTTTCCCCTCGCCTACCCCCCACTATGCTTCGCTCTGATACCAGTTGGGCAGTATTCAACAGCTTCCATGCCCCCTGAGCCTGAGTTCAGGGCTATCCGCACCCAAACCAGTCTCGCGGCTTTAAAATACACCACACCCCCTAAGCTGGGAACTCAAGGCTGGTCAGGAGGCCCTCCCCCTTTGCACAGGCACCAGCATAAGGGTTCCATGGAATTGTAGCACGATTCACCAAAACCAAAACCGCCAACCTGTCTGGACCTGTGTGGGCTGATTCAATACCACATGCCCTTATTAGCATAAAACAGGGTATACACCTGAAGGCTATTTTCAACTGCAGCAGCCAAAGGGGAGTTGCAGATTAGTGACATTTGACACTGCCCTGCCTATTAAGCAGGGATCTCACCCACCTTCATCAGGGGTCTGAGGGCTGGTGGTATCACCCACTCCATCTAGCCACCTACAACAGGGATCTGAGAATAAGTGGTGCTTCCCAGTCCCTCCAGCTAACAGCATTGGGTGTCCAAGGACTGGCTGCAAAACCTACCCCTCTACGCACTCTAGGGGAGAAGGACACACCCTCCATCCAGACACCCCGGGGGCAGCTGTCAGCCCCCTGCCTTGCTTCACGCATAGCCCCCTACTGCAGCCAGATACCTGTGCCTGCTCCGAACACCCCTGCTCAGCCCTGCCCATCTAGGACTGTAGGTGAGAGTCTGCACCACACAACTGGTGACTGACAGCATGGACACCTGTGCCACATTCACACAAGAAAAGTGAACAGACTTCTGGGCTCACACACCTAGTAGCTGCTCTAACCACCTGGGCAAAGGATGTAAGAGCTTCAAGTAACCAATAACTGAAGTAGCTCACACGCCCAGCCTACTTGGGCATATCAAAACAAAACAAAAAGCTAGGACACAGTAAACAAACATCCAATAAATAAATAAATTATTGATGGCTCGGAGACAACAGTCAATATCAAATCACATAAAGAAGCCGATCAAGATGGCTCTAGCAAGCAACCAAAATAAAGAACCAGGAAACCTTCTGGAGGAAGATAAGGTCTTGGAATTACTGGAGATGGAATTCAAAAAGTTAATATACAGAGCTCTTCAAGAGATCAGGAAGGAGATCAGGCAAAACTCAGACCAAGCCAACGAATACACAGACAAAGCAATAATGGAATGCAGGAAAACAATACAAGAACAGAACGACAAATTTAACAGGCTGCTAGAAACAATAGCAACTAGAAATCCAAAAGATTAACAATAAAATTTCAGAATTAGACAACTTAATAGAAGGTCACAGGAGCAGAATTGAGGAAGTTAGAATTAGTGCGATTGAAAATAAATTCCTTGACACCAATTTATTTGAGGAAAAATCAGAAAAAAAATTAAAAAAATGAAGAAACTCTTTAAGAATTATGTGGGACACTATCAAGAGGAAAAAACTATGAGTGAGTGGAGTACAAGAACAGGGGGGATAACAGAAAACAAAGAGAAAATTGTTGAAGATTTGCAGGCAGAAAACTTCCCAGATATCGTGAAAGACCAGAAGATACCTATCCAAGAAGCTCAACGAACCCCACACAGGGTAGATCCCAAAAGAAAGTCACCAAGATATAATCAAACTTGCCAAAACCAAACCGCCAACTTTTCAGCTAGTAGCTGAGTGCTTAACCGTTTGTGCCACCCAGGGACTCCTCCTTTTACCTCTGGTTACCACTAATAAGCTTTGGTTTCTATACATTTATTATCTTATTATGTTTTGTATCAGTGGAATCATCCGTTTGTCTTTTTGTAACTGACTTATTTCACTCAGCATAATGCTTTCCAGGTTCATCCATGTCATAGTACATGTCAACATTTCATTTCTTTTTATGGCTGAGTAACGGGGTCTCCATGAGTCAGAATCCACTCTAAAGCAATGGGTTTGGTTTGATTAATATTCCATTGTATGTATATATCACATTTTGTTTATCCATTCATCTGTTGATGGACATTTAGATTGTTTCCACCTTTTGGCTATTGTGAGTAGTGCTGCAATGAACATTGGTGTACAAGTTTCTGTTTGCATTCCTGCTTTCAGTTCTTTTGGGTCTATACCTAGGATTCAGATTGCTGGGTCATATGGTGGTGGTGGTTGTTAGCTGCCATTGAGTTGATTCTGACAATATTTAACTTTTTGAGAAACTGCCGAACTGTTTTCCACAGTGGCTGTACCATTTTGCATTCCCACCAACAATGGATGAGGGTTCCAATTTATCCACATCCTTGCCAACACCTGTTATTTTCTGTTTTTTGATCATAGCCGTTCTGTTGGTGGTGAAGTGGTATCTCATTGTGGTTTTGATTTACATCTCCCTAAATAACTAATGACTTTGAGCATCTTTTCATGTGTTTGTACACTGTTTGTTTATCCGCTTTGGTGAAATGTCTATTAAAATCCTTTGCCCATTTTTCTATTGGGTTATTTGGGTTTTTTTTTGTTAAGTTGTAGGAGTTCTTTATATATACCAGATATTAAACGCTTATCAAATTTATGGTTCCTAAAATGGAGGTTTGTTTTTTGTTTTATTTTAATAAATTATCTTGATTTTACTCTGCCAGAGACTGTCTGATTATGGATAATTTAGCTCCTTGCTTCTCTAAGGATCAACTTCTTAGGGTTTTAATTCTGAAATTCTGTGTTTAACCCCATTCAGATAAACTAGAGTTCTCTGATGGCGGTAGTTTTCCTGTTTCAGCCTCCAACAGGTAAAATAATAGTTTACATTTTTTAGTGTTTCTGTTTATCAGGGAATATGCTAAAATCTTTGCATTGCATTGTTTTATTTAATATTTAAAAGTATGTGAATAGTTCCTGGCATATGATAAGCACTCAATAAATATTAACTAGTTGATTGATTTAGTAAACAATTTTTTAGCTCCTCCTGTATGCTCAGGTCACCATGAGTCAGAATCAACTCAATGGCGATATAGGTTTTTTTGGTTTTTTGTGTGCTTATGTTCCAGGCGTTATCTAGACCAGTGTTTCTCAATCCTTTTTTTTGTTTTTCCATCATCCCCCCTAAGTAACCTTTTTGAATCAACTCAACGGGTTTGATATTTTTGGAAGGAACCTTTTAGACATTTAATGCCACAGATATACTGTATATTGGTTTATGTACTGTATGCATATCTGTGCTTTATACATAAAATGAGTAACATTTTTTTTTTAATCTCTTCCCCCTAAAGAAACAATTTTTGCCTCCTAGGGAAGACTGAAGATATATTTGAAAACCAAATGCATAGTGGTGATAACTGAAGCCATGGGAATGTGTGATATTTCAGAGAGAGAGAGAACAGAGCCAAGGTCGGAACTTTAGAGAGAATCTATATTTAGAGGAAAACTATAAGAAAACAACTTAGAGAAGGAAAGAATATAGAGATAGCCAGTAAATTTTGATGACAATGAAGTTGAAAGGGAAACGGATTCCAAGAGAGAGGCAGTCACAGTAGTATCAAATACTGCAGAAAGGTTAAGGAAGATGAGAACTGAGAGAAACAAGGCCCCTGGATTTGTTCCTCATATCGCTAATGACATCCAGAAAGCTGTGTCAATAGAGTTGTTGAGGCAGAATTCAGTATGAATGGTATTAATGATTCTGTTATAAACCAGTTGCATTCAAGTCAATTCCAACCCATATGTGTCAGAGTAAAACTGTGCTCCGTAGGATTTTCAGTGACTGATTTTTTGGAAGTAGATCACTAAGCCTTTCTTCTGCAGTGCCTCTGGGTGGACTCCAACCTCCAACCTTTTGGCTAGCAGCTAAGTGTGTTTTATCATTTGCACTATCCAGGGACTTTACTAAATATCCAGCATTGTAAAAAGACCATGTAGGCACGCTTGCACATGCACACACACACGCGTACACGCACACACACACACAATGATCTTTCCCAAAGGAGACTGGATGTGACAGTATCAAGAGCACAGGAGGAAGGGTTGGCCTTAAACCTGAGAAGGGATGACTCATCATCTAAGATAGGAAGGAGGAGTGAGTGTGGACGTAGATAAGTTTGCTGGGGGAGGGGCAAGAAGTTGAGGTAGTCCTTGTCTTATTACCTCAGTTTTTTCATTCATATCAAATTAATGTTTCCAAACTATTACATAGACCTTGTTAGTTTAGTAAGGGATTTAACATATCTTGTCAATAAATCCAATGGATTTTTCTCTTATTTTCTTTGACTGCCCTACAGTATTAGATACATACTCTTAACTACTTATTTTGAAACATTCTTCTTGGCTCTCACTAAAACTCTCTCTTGAGTCTCCCATCTCTCTAACCATTTTTCCCTGCTCCTCTACCTCCAGTGTTTATGCAAATGGATGTAGTTCCATTCACTAAATCCCAAATCTCTTCTTGCTTTATGTTAATTCCCTGGGCTTTGTGATTTAGTTTCATGGGTTTAGCTATCATCTAGCTGTAACCTCTTCAAGGAGCATCACAACTGAATTTCCAGCTGCCTGATGAACATTTCCATTTGGATGTTTTGCAAGCACCTCAAATTCACCATCAGAATCTATTGCATTATTTCCACGAACGCCATTCAAACCTGCTGTTCTTTCCGTATTTCCTATCTTTGTCATTATGTGGCCTATTCCATTTGCCTATTAAGTGATCCAGCTGCCTATTATAATAGCTGGTTAACTGATCTAAATTCCTCTAGAATTTTTTCCCCCAATCAACACTTCATAAAGAACAGAGTGTCACTCGTAGAACTAATTATGTGATACTTTTCCTCAGAAATGTTTGATGGCTCCTCATTGCCTCCAGAATATAATCTGAACTGTTTGCATGGTGTCCAGGTTACTTAACAAAACATAGCCTCAGCCTTTCTGGATTCCACCCCTGCCATGAACCACAAAGCCCAGTCACAGTAGGTTTCTCCAAATAATCTTCTGTTTACTTAAGCTGTTCTCTGTATGTAATGTTTTTACTCCCTTACTCTACCCATCAAATACTACTAGTAGGCCAATGTTCAGCAAAACATGACACATCTTTCAAGCCTGTTCCAACCTTTTCCCAGTCACTCACATTTAGTCCTTTCATTTTCCATGCCTTTATGTGTGTGTGTGTGTGTGTGTGTGTGTGTGTGTGTGTGTGTGTATCATATTATAACCACTCTTACGGCATTCATCACAGTTATATTTATAGACAGTTAAATAGGAGTGCACTTCTTACATGAGACTATAATTTGAGAGTATAACTAATTCATATCTGTATTACATGTGTCTTCCAACCCATTCAACACAGAATAAGCAATAAATCAACATTCCTAAATGGATAAATTAATGAATGAATGCATGATCAGATAAAATCTAAAATGCTTTGGCCTACTAGTATGTGTAGTGCTACCTGTTTCTCTATGGTTACCTTGTAGCCTTCTTCATCCTAAAAATTCCATGATGAAACTCATCATTCCCCAAACTACCCTCTTTTCTTTACTCCCTAATTTGGTGTCACTAGTTTCCTAGTCAACAAGACTTACAGTCATGTTTTGACTTTTCCTCCTCCCTTGCCCTTTATGTTAGGTCAGTTACCAAGTTCTGTTGTCTCTGTCTCCACAGTGTCCCTTGCATCCACTCCTTCTATTTCATTTTTACTGCTAGTTCAGGCCCCCAGTATCTCTGACTTGAATATTATAACATTCTTCAGATTTTACTGCTCTTATAATTTATCCTTTGACCTATTGTTAACCTTTCTAAAGCACGGAAACTTTCAGTGGCTTCTCACTGCTTAGAGAACTAAGTATCATCTTATTATTCAGGACCTTCTACAGTCTAATCTAAACTTTTTCAGGCTTATCTCTTATTGTGCTTTGTAAGTACCCTGTACTCCAACCAAAGTGGAGTCTACCTCTTATAATAGCTTAAACATGCCGATAGTTTCCCCTTTGTTCTTTCTCAAGATTTCCTTTCCTTCATGAAATTATTCTACCTTTTCCATGTGTTGAACCTGTTCTAACTTTTATCTAACCTAAAATGCCACCTCTGGGGCAGAGCCGACGTGGTGCTATAGACGGAAGCACCATGCCGTGCCGTCCCTCCACAGCAAACACCCAAAAAACTAAGTAAAATAGAGACAGACGTCAATCCTGGAACCCCAAGTATCAAATGAAGAGATAAATAACTCAGCCAAGCACCGAGTGGAGTAGTAAACTGACAGAGAACAGAGAACGAGGAGAGATGCAAAGCAAGGTCCTTTATCAGCTAACGCAGCACAGAGTTACCATCTTGGACTCCTGTCGGAGATCAGCGGACGGGGAGTATGGGAAAGCAGCTTCACGGAGCTCCCAGCAGAAGACAGTGCACCTGGACCCAATAACCAGCTACATGCTTTCCCACCCCCTACCCTTCTTCACCCTGCTTGGCCTCCACCGCTCCCAGTGGGCCATGGTCGCTCAGTTGGGAGGCACTAGCTCCAAGCTGTTTGGATTCACCCTGCCCACACCAGCCAGCTCCTTCAGTGCCATTTCTTTGTTGCTGGTTTTGCTTTTTTTGGCTGCTTTTGGTTTCTTCCCCGTCTCTCACCTCCTCCCCCTCCTTTCTCTTGAACACCTGGCTCCATGTGCCATCTGTGCTTCTTCTTGACAGGCTGTGAAGCACTGCCTTGCTAAGGACCTGCTTCCCTGGTCCGTGCCACCATGCTGGTGGGATCCCTGGGGACTTTTTTTGTTTGTTTGTCTTCTTTTTCTTCTTTCCATTTTTTCTTCATTTCTCGGTTTCTTGTCTCTCTCTACTTACCTTCTTTTCCTGTCTCCTGAATACCTGGTGCTATGTGCCATCTCCACCCCCTTCTAGCCAGGCTGTACTGCGCGGCTTGGGAGCCACTTTCCCTGTCTGCGCAGCCACGCCAGTGGGATCCCTGGGGGCTTTTTTTTTTTAAAAAAAAATTCTTTTTCTTTTTTCCTTTTTTTTCATTTCTCAGTTTCTTGTCTCTCTCTACTTACCTTGTTTTCCTGTCTCCTGAATACCTAGTGCCGTGTGCCATCTCCAGCCCATCTAGAGGGCTGTGCCTCGAGGCCTGGGAGCCACTTCCCTGGTTGTTGGTGGGATCCTTGGGGACATTTCTTTTTTTTTAATTTATTTATTTCTCTCTCTCTCTTTTTTTTTTTTTTCATTTCTCAGTTTCTTGTCTCTCCACTCCAATGACAGGCTTCCTCAGCACTTTTTTTGGGGGGTCCTGTTTCTCTCCTCTCTGTCTTCTTTCCCATACCCAACTTAGCTCCACACATCACAACCTTCCCCCTTCCCTTCTGCCTATCAGCACTGTGTGCTGAACATCGCACCCTCGAGCAGCACAGGCATGGCCTACCACAACCTGCCTTGCACTCACCCCTGGCGTGCCCTGTCAGCCCCAGTACATGCCATAAACACCCCATCCCAGCTCCTCCGCTTCAGCTGGACCTGCCCTGCTGCACCATAGCTGAGCAACTGGCCCTGCCCATTGGACAAGAAGGTGAAAAGTATCATTCCCACAGACGAGCAAACAAAGAACTCACAGCCTGCCTGCTCAGACATAACCAAATAAAACAAAAAAGCAGGACAAAACAAATCTACAATCAGTAAATGAAGAAATAACTACTGAATGTCCCAAAGACAGCAGACGGTATCAAAACGTATAAAGAAAACAGGACAGAATGGTTCCAGTAGGCGTCCAAAGTAAAACACCAGATGACTTTCCAGTAGAAGAAAAGGCACTGGAACTACCTGATAGGGAGTTCAAATGTCTAATATACAGAACTATCTAAGAGTTGAAGCAAAAAGCAGACAAAAATGAGGAAAAAATAGACAAATTCATGGAAAAGGCAGACAAAATCATGGAAAATACAGACAAAACCATGGAAGAATTCAGGAAAATAATACAGCAATGAAATGTCAAAATAAATTCACAACTAGAAATCATACAGAAACAACAACTAGAAATCCAAAAGATAAACAACAAGATTTCAGAAATGGACAGTGTCATAGAAGGTCTGAGGAGCAAGTTTGAAACAGTGGAAGACAGGATCAGCAAAATTGAAGAAAATCCTTGGATACCACTTTGTTTGAGGAAAAAGAAAAAATCGAGAAAAGAAAGAAGAAAGATGAAGAAATCCTGAGAATGTTGTGAGATACGATCAAAAGCAAAAATTTGCGAGTGATAGGAGTTCCAGAATGGGGAGAGAACATAAAACACAGAGAGGATCATTGAAGAATTGCTGACAGAAAACTTCCCTAATATCATGAAAGATGAAAAGCTGACCATCCAAGAAGCTTAACGAACCCTATATAGGATAGACCCCAAGAGAAAATCACCCAGATATATC